TATATATATTTATATCATTGATTTATACAGTAATAATAATTATATATATATATACTTAAAATAAAATATTTTTATTTTTGGCAAATAGTAGTAATATATAATATACAGTATAGTTAGTATAATTTAGATATATTTTTTTTGATTTATAGTTGTCTAAATTATGATTTATTAGTTAATATTATCATAATTTATAATAATAGTAATAATTGTGTAATATAAAATATTAAGTTAGAAAAGTTATATTATTAAATTATTGGCATGGTAACTTATTAAATATATATATATATATATATATTTTGTTGTTGCTATAACTAGTTGTTTGTTAAATTAGACAAATAATATTGAATTAATATTTACTGTATATATATATATATAATAATTATATATATATTTATATACTTTTTATATAGTATATATATATGTTTATTTTATATAAATCAATTAATAAAAATTATAAATAATAATATTTACATATATATATAAAATAATATAATAGTTTTAATAATAATATGCAACTAAATAATTTATCTAAAATATAAATCACAATTATTAATATTATTATTATTATTAATAATAATATTATTATTAATAATATTATTATTAATATTATTATTATTATTATTAATAATATTATTATTAATATTATTATTATTATTATTATTATTATTATTATTATTATTTTTGTATATCACGGTTGTTCCGGTGTGATCACAGTTGTGTCGGCCACTTTTGGTGGCAGAGACACGACTGGTTAGACTCAACTCAAGTCTAGTACTTTTCTTACTGTTCTACAACTCTGAAGTATCACTGCTTTTTGCATTTCATAGATCTTAGTTTTTCTGATTTCCAGTGATTCCAAACTTAGGGCCAGATTTTTCGGTATTACGGCCATTGATGACAGGATTATAGGTATGATTTCAACTTTCTTAATGCGCCACATCTTATTGATCTCATAGGCCAAGTCTGTATATTTTCGGCGTTTCTCACTATGCGTGTCCTGTAGTTTGTGTGTTAGTGGGACCGCTATGTCTATTATGTACGCCTTATCTTGATGTTTGTCTACTAGTACTATATCTGGGCGGTTGTGGGCCACAGTTTTATCTGTTCTTATTTCTTTATCCCAGTAGAGCTTGGCTCTGTTGCTTTCCATTACACTTTGTGGCTCGTATCTATAGTATGGTAATGGTTCTTTGATTAGTCCGAATCTTATTGCCAATTCCTGATGTATGATTTTGGCTACTTGGTTGTGACGGCTTAGGTACTCGGTGTTTGTGAGTACTTTACACCCATTTAGTATATGTTCTATTGTTTCGGACTCCATATGACACATCCTGCACTTGTCTGTTGGTATATTTAGCTTTTGGATGTATTTCTGATGGTTTCGTGTCGGAATCACTCGATCTTGTATTGCCATCATGAACCCCTCTGTCTCTCCATGAAGACCGGCGTACTTCAACCATTTTGTAGACATTTCTTCGTCTACGTGTGTTTGGTTGAGTTCTGCCCGGTATCTTCCGTGAAGTTCTTTTGAGGCCCATGTGTTAATCCTCTCTTTTTCATTTTGTATTTCTATTTGATGTTCATTATTGCTGAGATTTAGAGGTGTGTAGTTGTAATCGAGTGTTGATGTTATTTTGTGGAGCTCTGAGACATTGCATTTTTGTTGATGGTATTTTCTCAGCAATTCTCGCTGTTTGGCTTCAAGGCTTACAATGTTTAGTAACCCTCTACCCCCATGTTTTCTACTAACACATAGTCGTGCTACAGAACTTCTAGGGTGGTGTAGTCCAAACATTGTAAGTTGTCGCCTTATATGTCTTTCAATTGTCTCAAGTTCTGTTTTACTCCATTTTATTATTCCGAACGAGTATGTCAGTACAGGTATAGCCCAAGTGTTTATTGCTTTGAATATGTTGTTTGAGTTTAGTTGAGATTTTAGTATTTTTATTATTCTTTGGTTTAATGTTTTCTTTATTTCTTCTTTAACTTCTGTCATTTTAGATTTATGCATTTGCTTAATTCCTAAGTACTTATATATATCTCCATTTTCTAGTGCCTTTATATATCCATTTTCAGTTTCGTATTGATTTCTTTCAGAATAGACTCCTCTTTTCAGTTTCATTATAGCACATTTATCTAATCCAAATTCCATATTTATATCATTGGAGAAAGTTTCTGTTGTTTTTAACATTGCATTTAAATCAGATTCTTTTTCGGCGTATAGTTTTAAGTCGTCCATATATAGTAGATGTGTTAGATTATATTTTGTATTACTTGATTTTAGATTTACGCCTTTTAGCTTTTTAAGTAGTGATGATAGTGGGTTTATGGCTAAGCAGAACCACAGAGGACTGAGTGAATCTCCTTGAAATATTCCTCTATTTATTTTGATTTCTGTACTTATTTTTGTTCCATTATTTGTATTGACACACAATTTAGTTTTCCATTTTTTCATCATATTTTCTAATGTGTTTATCAGTGTGTTGTCAATTTTATATAGTTTTAACACTCTTAATAACCATTTATGTGGGACTGAATCGAATGCTTTCTTATAGTCTATGTATGCTATTTCAAGATTTCTATGTTTTTGACGAGCTCTTATTGTTATAATATTGTCTATTGTTAATTGCTCTTTACATCCCATTGAGTGTTTTATACAGCCTTTTTGTTCTTCAGCTATTATGTTGTTGTTACTTAAATGATTATATATTTTTGTTGATATTATGGATGTTAGGATTTTATACATTGTTGTTAGGCAAGTGATGGGTCTATATTTGCTGGGATCTGATGTACTTTCTGTTTTTGGGAGTAGATATGTTATTCCGGAAGTGAGGAAGTCATCGGTTTGTCCTGTTTTTATTATTTTATCCATTGCTATTGCCATTGGTTGATGTACTGTTGTAAAGTGTTTGTACCAGAAGTTTTGTATTTTGTCTTGTCCTGGGCTTTTCCAATTGTGGGATTTCTTGAGGGGTTCGGTTAAGTCATCTTTAATTATATTTACTGAAGTCATAGGTGGTATTTCTTTATTTTCATCTTCAATATCATTTATCCAATTAGATTCTTTATATTCCTTTGGGTTGCTCCAGATTTCTTTCCAGTAGTTTTCTATTTCATCTATTTGTGGTGTATGGTTAATATTGCTTGAATTTATTTTGTTTTGATTTCTATAGAACATTTTTTCGTTATTATAGAACATTGTATTTTGCTTTCGTCTTTCGCTTTGTTGTTTATATCTTCTGATTCTTTGTGATAGTGCTTGAACTGTTTGTTTTAATGTGTCGTTGTAATTCCGGATAATAGCTTCAAATTCAGGTTTTCCAGGTTTTGTCTGTAATAATCGGTATATATCTTTTAATGATTGGTTAAGTCTTTTTGATTTGTTTCCATTTAACACTTGCGTTATTCTTCCTATTACTTGTCTTTTCCCTTCTATACGTGTCTCTATTCGCTTTTGCCATTTAGGTATTATATTTTCTTGATTTAGTTTTGTAGTTGACATGTGTTGTATTTTGTAGCCTAAGAGTCTCGATACTGCTACTGCTGCACAGTATGTTATTGTATTAATTGTGCTCAACGACATGTTATCTTCGATGTAATCTTTAAGTATATCATTAATTGTTATTATTGTAGATCTTGTTTTTACGCCACTTTTTATTTTTGGTAACTTAGGTCTGAGTTCTATTTCAAAGTCTTTATATTGTTCTAAAGAAGTTTTTAGTTCATTTTCTGCTGTTATTCTATTTATTTCATCATTTGTATTGATTCTGTTATCTGTTGTTGTAGGTGTCTCTTCCATTTCTGGCACTACTTCTACTGTGGTATTTAATTCAGTTGTTTCATTTAATGATAGTTCATGTGCCACTTGCTGTTTGATTTCTTGTAATTCTATTGGGGATATTTTATTATTCTTTGCTAAGAATCGCCGCTGGTCTGCAATCCTTTGTTCCGTTACATTTAGTTCTGGATATTTCTGTTTGAATGCTAAGTAAATTTGGTTTCTGTAATCAGTCATATTTGTTTCGAGTCGAGTTGATCTGTAGTATTCGCGCATTATCAAGGTATTCATCTCATGTGTCCATTTCATGCGCTTTTGCGATTTTTCAACCAAATTGGTCAGTTGTCGCTGAGAACCAGCTTGAACTGAAACATTTTGGAGGTTAGTCTGATTTTGTTGACTAGTCTGCGGTCGCATTACATCACAGCTTTGCCCGCATAGCACATCACTGCGTGGGATATGATGCATACTTAACGAACTGCAGTCAATGCCTACCTGCTGAACGCGGGATTTATTTGAGAGGGTACCTCCCGAACACCCCCCGTTATTCCTTCGACTACGTGTAATCATAATTATATATATATTTGTTTTTGGCCTTTTTACGGGGTCCCAGTCCCTAGAATAAGCTCAACACTAACATGTGTCTATTGCCACCCATTTCTCACCACTAACATGTGTTTGTTGAAATAGGATTTTTTATTTTTTGAAACAAAAGTGGCCATTGCGTGTGAGGACGAGTAACTACTCGAAGGGTGAAGAGACATCCTTGCGGACGTCTCTTCGGGGTGGGGGCACCTTTTTACTGGCACCCCCGGGTGGGGGCACCCTTGCGGGTACCCCCAGGTGGGTACCGATACCGAAGTACCGATACCCGGGGTCGGGCAGAAACTCGTCCTCACTTAGCACCCCGCTTTCCCCATACTACTTAAGTTGGCCGTCCTAAACAGCGTTGGTTGGGCAGGGACGGGAAGCACAGTTAAAACAATTTTTTTTCTCAGAAAAATTGCTTTACCACATCGGGGCTCGAACTATAGATCTTACTCTCCATTACACTACATAGCCCTACACACTAACCACTACACCACTGTGCCTCCTTTATTATTATTATTATTATTATTATTATTATTATTATTATTATTATTATCTTTGTATATCACGGTTGTTCCGGTGTGATCACAGTTGTGTCGGCCACTTTTGGTGGCAGAGACACGACTGGTTAGACTCAACTCAAGTCTAGTACTTTTCTTACTGTTCTACAACTCTGAAGTATCACTGCTTTTTGCATTTCATAGATCTTAGTTTTTCTGATTTCCAGTGATTCCAAACTTAGGGCCAGATTTTTCGGTATTACGGCCATTGATGACAGGATTATAGGTATGATTTCAACTTTCTTAATGCGCCACATCTTATTGATCTCATAAGCCAAGTCTGTATATTTTCGGCGTTTCTCACTATGCGTGTCCTGTAGTTTGTATGTTAGTGGGACCGCTATGTCTATTATGTACGCCTTATCTTGATGTTTGTCTACTAGTACTATATCTGGGCGGTTGTGGGCCACAGTCTTATCTGTTCTTATTTCTTTATCCCAGTAGAGCTTGGCTCTGTTGCTTTCCATTACACTTTGTGGCTCGTATCTATAGTATGGTAATGGTTCTTTGATTAGTCCGAATCTTATTGCCAATTCCTGATGTATGATTTTGGCTACTTGGTTGTGACGGCTTAGGTACTCGGTATTTGTGAGTACTTTACACCCATTTAGTATATGTTCTATTGTTTCGGACTCCATATGACACATCCTGCACTTGTCTGTTGGTATATTTAGCTTTTGGATGTATTTCTGATGGTTTCGTGTCGGAATCACTCGATCTTGTATTGCCATCATGAACCCCTCTGTCTCTCCATGAAGACCGGCGTACTTCAACCATTTTGTAGACATTTCTTCGTCTACGTGTGTTTGGTTGAGTTCTGCCCGGTATCTTCCGTGAAGTTCTTTTGAGGCCCATGTGTTAATCCTCTCTTTTTCATTTTGTATTTCTATTTGATGTTCATTATTGCTGAGATTTAGAGGTGTGTAGTTGTAATCGAGTGTTGATGTTATTTTGTGGAGCTCTGAGACATTGCATTTTTGTTGATGGTATTTTCTCAGCAATTCTCGCTGTTTGGCTTCAAGGCTTACAATGTTTAGTAACCCTCTACCCCCATGTTTTCTACTAACACATAGTCGTGCTACAGAACTTCTAGGGTGGTGTAGTCCAAACATTGTAAGTTGTCGCCTTATATGTCTTTCAATTGTCTCAAGTTCTGTTTTACTCCATTTTATTATTCCGAACGAGTATGTCAGTACAGGTATAGCCCAAGTGTTTATTGCTTTGAATTTGTTGTTTGAGTTTAGTTGAGATTTTAGTATTTTTATTATTCTTTGGTTTAATGTTTTCTTTATTTCTTCTTTAACTTCTGTCATTTTAGATTTATGCATTTGCTTAATTCCTAAGTACTTATATATATCTCCATTTTCTAGTGCCTTTATATATCCATTTTCAGTTTCGTATTGATTTCTTTCAGAATAGACTCCTCTTTTCAGTTTCATTATAGCACATTTATCTAATCCAAATTCCATATTTATATCATTGGAGAAAGTTTCTGTTGTTTTTAACATTGCATTTAAATCAGATTCTTTTTCGGCGTATAGTTTTAAGTCGTCCATATATAGTAGATGTGTTAGATTATATTTTGTATTACTTGATTTTAGATTTACGCCTTTTAGCTTTTTAAGTAGTGATGATAGTGGGTTTATGGCTAAGCAGAACCACAGAGGACTGAGTGAATCTCCTTGAAATATTCCTCTATTTATTTTGATTTCTGTACTTATTTTTGTTCCATTATTTGTATTGACACACAATTTAGTTTTCCATTTTTTCATCATATTTTCTAATGTGTTTATCAGTGTGTTGTCAATTTTATATAGTTTTAACACTCTTAATAACCATTTATGTGGGACTGAATCGAATGCTTTCTTATAGTCTATGTATGCTATTTCAAGATTTCTATGTTTTTGACGAGCTCTTATTGTTATAATATTGTCTATTGTTAATTGCTCTTTACATCCCATTGAGTGTTTTATACAGCCTTTTTGTTCTTCAGCTATTATGTTGTTGTTACTTAAATGATTATATATTTTTGTTGATATTATGGATGTTAGGATTTTATACATTGTTGTTAGGCAAGTGATGGGTCTATATTTGCTGGGATCTGATGTACTTTCTGTTTTTGGGAGTAGATATGTTATTCCGGAAGTGAGGAAGTCATCGGTTTGTCCTGTTTTTATTATTTTATCCATTGCTATTGCCATTGGTTGATGTACTGTTGTAAAGTGTTTGTACCAGAAGTTTTGTATTTTGTCTTGTCCTGGGCTTTTCCAATTGTGGGATTTCTTGAGGGGTTCGGTTAAGTCATCTTTAATTATATTTACTGAAGTCATAGGTGGTATTTCTTTATTTTCATCTTCAATATCATTTATCCAATTAGATTCTTTATATTCCTTTGGGTTGCTCCAGATTTCTTTCCAGTAGTTTTCTATTTCATCTATTTGTGGTGTATGGTTAATATTGCTTGAATTTATTTTGTTTTGATTTCTATAGAACATTTTTTCGTTATTATAGAACATTGTATTTTGCTTTCGTCTTTCGCTTTGTTGTTTATATCTTCTGATTCTTTGTGATAGTGCTTGAACTGTTTGTTTTAATGTGTCGTTGTAATTCCGGATAATAGCTTCAAATTCAGGTTTTCCAGGTTTTGTCTGTAATAATCGGTATATATCTTTTAATGATTGGTTAAGTCTTTTTGATTTGTTTCCATTTAACACTTGCGTTATTCTTCCTATTACTTGTCTTTTCCCTTCTATACGTGTCTCTATTCGCTTTTGCCATTTAGGTATTATATTTTCTTGATTTAGTTTTGTAGTTGACATGTGTTGTATTTTGTAGCCTAAGAGTCTCGATACTGCTACTGCTGCACAGTATGTTATTGTATTAATTGTGCTCAACGACATGTTATCTTCGATGTAATCTTTAAGTATATCATTAATTGTTATTATTGTAGATCTTGTTTTTACGCCACTTTTTATTTTTGGTAACTTAGGTCTGAGTTCTATTTCAAAGTCTTTATATTGTTCTAAAGAAGTTTTTAGTTCATTTTCTGCTGTTATTCTATTTATTTCATCATTTGTATTGATTCTGTTATCTGTTGTTGTAGGTGTCTCTTCCATTTCTGGCACTACTTCTACTGTGGTATTTAATTCAGTTGTTTCATTTAATGATAGTTCATGTGCCACTTGCTGTTTGATTTCTTGTAATTCTATTGGGGATATTTTATTATTCTTTGCTAAGAATCGCCGCTGGTCTGCAATCCTTTGTTCCGTTACATTTAGTTCTGGATATTTCTGTTTGAATGCTAAGTAAATTTGGTTTCTGTAATCAGTCATATTTGTTTCGAGTCGAGTTGATCTGTAGTATTCGCGCATTATCAAGGTATTCATCTCATGTGTCCATTTCATGCGCTTTTGCGATTTTTCAACCAAATTGGTCAGTTGTCGCTGAGAACCAGCTTGAACTGAAACATTTTGGAGGTTAGTCTGATTTTGTTGACTAGTCTGCGGTCTTATTATTATTATTATTATTATTATTATTATTATTATTATTATTATTATTATTATTATTATTATTATTATTATTATTATTATTATTATTATTATTATTATTATTATTATTATTATTATTATTATTATTATTATTATTATTATTATTATTATTATTATTATTATTATTATTATTATTATTATTATTATTATTATTATTATTATTATTATTATTATTATTATTATTATTATTATTATTATTATTATTATTATTATTATTATTATTATTATTATTATTATTATTATTATTATTATTATTATTATTATTATTATTATTATTATTATTATTATTATTATTATTATTATTATTATTATTATTATTATTATTATTATTATTATTATTATTATTATTATTATTATTATTATTATTATTATTATTATTATTATTATTATTATTATTATTATTATTATTATTATTATTATTATTATTATTATTATTATTATTATTATTATTATTATTATTATTATTATTATTATTATTATTATTATTATTATTATTATTATTATTATTATTATTATTATTATTATTATTATTATTATTATTATTATTATTATTATTATTATTATTATTATTATTATTATTATTATTATTATTATTATTATTATTATTATTATTATTATTATTATTATTATTATTATTATTATTATTATTATTATTATTATTATTATTATTATTATTATTATTATTATTATTATTATTATTATTATTATTATTATTATTATTATTATTATTATTATTATTATTATTATTATTATTATTATTATTATTATTATTATTATTATTATTATTATTATTATTATTATTATTATTATTATTATTATTATTATTATTATTATTATTATTATTATTATTATTATTATTATTATTATTATTATTATTATTATTATTATTATTATTATTATTATTATTATTATTATTATTATTATTATTATTATTATTATTATTATTATTATTATTATTATTATTATTATTATTATTATTATTATTATTATTATTATTATTATTATTATTATTATTATTATTATTATTATTATTATTATTATTATTATTATTATTATTATTATTATTATTATTATTATTATTATTATTATTATTATTATTATTATTATTATTATTATTATTATTATTATTATTATTATTATTATTATTATTATTATTATTATTATTATTATTATTATTATTATTATTATTATTATTATTATTATTATTATTATTATTATTATTATTATTATTATTATTATTATTATTATTATTATTATTATTATTATTATTATTATTATTATTATTATTATTATTATTATTATTATTATTATTATTATTATTATTATTATTATTATTATTATTATTATTATTATTATTATTATTATTATTATTATTATTATTATTATTATTATTATTATTATTATTATTATTATTATTATTATTATTATTATTATTATTATTATTATTATTATTATTATTATTATTATTATTATTATTATTATTATTATTATTATTATTATTATTATTATTATTATTATTATTATTATTATTATTATTATTATTATTATTATTATTATTATTATTATTATTATTATTATTATTATTATTATTATTATTATTATTATTATTATTATTATTATTATTATTATTATTATTATTATTATTATTATTATTATTATTATTATTATTATTATTATTATTATTATTATTATTATTATTATTATTATTATTATTATTATTATTATTATTATTATTATTATTATTATTATTATTATTATTATTATTATTATTATTATTATTATTATTATTATTATTATTATTATTATTATTATTATTATTATTATTATTATTATTATTATTATTATTATTATTATTATTATTATTATTATTATTATTATTATTATTATTATTATTATTATTATTATTATTATTATTATTATTATTATTATTATTATTATTATTATTATTATTATTATTATTATTATTATTATTATTATTATTATTATTATTATTATTATTATTATTATTATTATTATTATTATTATTATTATTATTATTATTATTATTATTATTATTATTATTATTATTATTATTATTATTATTATTATTATTATTATTATTATTATTATTATTATTATTATTATTATTATTATTATTATTATTATTATTATTATTATTATTATTATTATTATTATTATTATTATTATTATTATTATTATTATTATTATTATTATTATTATTATTATTATTATTATTATTATTATTATTATTATTATTATTATTATTATTATTATTATTATTATTATTATTATTATTATTATTATTATTATTATTATTATTATTATTATTATTATTATTATTATTATTATTATAATAATATATATATACATAATTTACAAATGCATATTGTATTTAACTATAGTTTACTATACAAGTTGTTTATACGATTGTATAGCAAATATAACATAAAAATTATGAAATTTATTTTTATCGCATCCTTAATATCAATTGATAACATTATGATAACATTTATTAAGTACAGTATATATATATATACTGTATATACCAGTAATATATAATGTAGTGTTGTTATATAATTATTATTATTATTATTATTGTTGTTGTTGTGTTAATGTGTTATGTCTATATGTAATCTACTAATTAATAATAATAATAATAATTTTTTGAGATTTAATATATTATTATTATTATTATTATTAGAGAGAGAGAGAGTCTTATTGATATCTAAAATATTACTTATTATTTGTGTTTATTTGCAATACTATTTGATTATATATATATAAAGTAGATATATATATATATATACAAACATTTTGATGCAAACATTTTTATTTGTTTGGTTTATATAAATATACTTTAAATATATATATATTTAACTAAAATTAATAATTAAAAAAATAATTGTTTTTGTTTAAATATCAAATTAATTATTAATTTATTAGTTAAAAATAAACATAATAAAAATTATTTTTTTAAATAATTCAAACAATTGCTAATGTAAGTAAAAACTAAATTTTATTAGTAAAATATATTATTTTAAATTTAACAAAACATAAATTTTTACAATATATATATATAATTTCAAAATAACTATTTATCTATTATATATATAAATTAATTTATAAATTAATTGACACTTATAGTAAACAAAAAAAAATATATTATATATTTTTGTATAATTATTATTTACATAAAAACTAATTACTAATTACTATTGTTATTGTTATTATTATTATTATTATTATTAGTCAATATTATATATTATTATTGAGAAACAATAGATATAAAATTTTTCAGATGATAATAATAATTATTATTATTAATAGCCTAACAACAATTAGATAATAAAATTAAACAAAAAATAATAATATGATAATAGCATATAATTAGTATTTTTAAAGGTTACAGATTTTTGTTGTTGTTGTATAAATTCAATTAAATATATAATTGGGTTTTTATTTTGTTTAATTAGCAAAAAGTATTATTATTATTATTATAACAGCAACAAAAATATTTAATATATTAATCAAAAAATAAAAAATAAAATATTGTTAATATACTGTACGTGTACTGTATATTAGTTTAATTACATTTTTTGAATAGATAGAAATTAAAAGTATGCAAAAATAAAATTTGTATTTTTTATTGTTATTAAAAATTAGTTGAGTAATATATTTTTAATTTAAATAATATATAAAAATTAAATAAAAATAAATAAATAAAAAAATAATAATAATTTCACTAAACTATTGTGTATAACAATGTGTTTATATTATTACTAAATAGCTATCATTATATATATTGTATATTATTATTATAATATCAAAAAAATTGTTTTATTTATTTTTACGTACAATATATTTAATTTATTTTTAAAAAAATATTATAGTAATTGTAAAATTAACTAATCATAGTTAACAATAATAATAATAATTAAATTTGATTATATTTTTGTAAGTTTTGTAAGTATTATTATTATTACTGCAATTATAATTTATCAAACAAAAAATAAATCCCCATTAGTTATCTACTGATTAATTAGTTAGTTTAAATAATTAAATAATAATTAAAAATAAAATAAAATTATAAAATAAATGTTTTTTTAAACAAAAAATATTGTATTACATAATACTGTAATCTATGAATTGAATCTAAATTAATACTACGAAAAACAAAACAAAAATATTAAATTACTAAAAATATAGTATTTTTTGAATTTTTATGGTTTAAAAAAAACTTGAAAATTAATAAAAATAAAATAATATATAATTAATAAATTTTTTTTGTGTAAAAGATATGTATGACTACTACTACTACTACTATGTTATGCAACAATACTACAGTAATATATATATATATATATATAATATTATCATATAATCACATAAAACATAAAAATAATAGTTAAATAATAATATTGTTGTTTAGTTACGGTATTTCAAGCATTTGATGTATCACTAAATTATGTATTTTTCCTCAATATATATATAGATATACAGTATATACTATTTATTATGTCTAATAATAATAATATTTTCCACACACATAGGAAAAAATGTTGCCAATAAAATACATCATAAAATAATAATAATAATTTTCAAGGTTAATAATTTTCATATAATTTTTTTTGTGGCTATGAAAATATCAAGTTATTATTGTTTGTATGAATTTATTTTTTTATATGTTATGAAAAATTATTAGTTTTTTTTATTTTATGTTATTATTATATGATTATTGTATTTATGATATACAATAAATATATACTGTATATATATATATATATATATATATATATAATTTTCTCAGTAGATATTATTAAATAAATACAGTATTTATATATGTATATATATAAAAAAAGTTAGGTTAGACCGGTTATGATCAAGGTACTTTATATATATAAATATATATATAGTTAATATTATCTAAAGTATGACTAAAAAATTTTTTTAAGTGTAAAATACTACTGTACTGTATATATATATATATATATATATATACTGTATATAAATTGTTTGATTTTTATTTTCTAATTTTCTAAATTGATTATCAGTTTAATAGCAATTACTTTTGTTAATTATTATTATTATTATTATTATTATTATTATTATTATTATTATTATTATTATTATTATTATTATTATTATTATTATTATTATTATTATTATTACTACTACTACTAATACTACTATCTAAACATAATATTAGTTAAGATTTTCTGTAAAATAATAATAATAATAAAATACATTATTTTATTTTTTTAAAAATTGAAATAATAATAACTATTTTGATAATTAATTATAAATCCAAATACTTATACAATTAGTATAATTTGTTGCAAAATTGTTCAAAAATTATTAATTTTAATACTTAAAATTGAAAATAATTTATTTTTAATGTTTTATTTTATTTAATAAATAATATATATATATTTCAAGTAATGTTTTAATTATAATTTGTGTTTAACTGATGTGTGTGTGTGTATTGTACTAAATGTGTAAATTAAAAAATAAATAAAATATTAATAATTTAATAAGTATTTTTTAAAACAACAAAATTATTACTGTTTATTATATTTAATGTTATTTTTATTATTGTTTTAAATATATGTAAATACATTAATTTTTATTGTTTTGTTGTTAAACTTGTTGTAACAAAAAAAATTGTAAAATTAAAATATTATATGATATGCAATAATAATAATAATAATAATGTGATTACAAAATATAAAATTTAAATAATTTTTTATTTTATTTTATTATTTTATTAATTTATTTTCTGTCTGACAATTTTGACAACTATTTTTTAAATAATAATAATAATAATAATAATAATAATAATACTTTATATATATAGTTAGTTTTGTAATAATAATGTTTATAATTAAGTTATTTACACAATAGTACTGTATATATATATAGTATAATAAATTATCATTTTTTTTTTMAGTATTATAGTTATGTATATAATTAATAAATAAATATGTGTGTGTGTCTATGTATGTGTCAAATTGATTAAATAAATAAATAAAATAAATATAAAAAATCATCTAGTACATCAGGTTATTAAACTTTGATAATAATAAAAATAAAACAAAATTATTACAATAAATAAATATATATTTATATATATATTGTAATATAAATAAATTATCTCATCTTATTGTGTGTACTGTCTATTATTATTATTATTATTATTATTATTATTATTATTATTATTATACATGTGCATGATTTGAAATAATAAATTATTATTATTATTATTATTTATACAGTATTATACAGTATTAATATATATATAATTTTTTTTGTTGGTGATAACTATCAATCAAATACATACATACATACATACATAAAATGGGGTAAATTTTATTTTGGTTGTAAATTACTTAATAATCATTTTTTATAAATTATATAAAATAATTTATTTTTTTAAAAAAAAGTTAATTATCTATTAAACAATTAACATGAATGTCTTTATATTTAAAAAAAAGTTAGTGTATTTTATTGTTAGTTTTATTTAAAATATTATTTATTAAAATAATAATAATAACTTTGTTTGTTTAATTTGTTTTTAAAAAAACATATATATATTATCATTGAACTAATTTTTTAACCACAAATTATTTTTTAATTATATTTACAAAACTTATAATAATAATTATAACAATAATTACAAAATAATAATAATTATTATTATTTTTATTCTATGATTTTAACTAATAATTTATTTCAATACATAAATTGAATGTTTTATATATTAATGAATGTATTAATACTACTACTAAATAATATTATTAACAAAACTTATTTTTCATACATTTATTGATACTAATAAATTTCTATTATATATTTATATATATATATATATATCAATAATTTATTAGACATTTAATTATTTTTTTATAAGTAATTGATTTATTTATGAAATTTATTTTATTTTTTTGAATTTTAAAAAAATAGTACCAAGATCTATTACATAGTTAACAAAATGTTTCCGGAAACATTATGCGAGTGTGGTGAAAATGATGATAACAATCATCATCATCATCATCATCAAAATGACCATGATACAATTGACAAAAATAGTGATAATTTAAACAACAATAATAGTTTTGTTAACAATTTAACAAATAGTGATAATAAACAACAACAAAATAATTGCAATAATAATAATAATAATATATTAAAACATCGAAATAGTTGTTCAAAAATTGATAGCAAAACTGTTTTCAATAATAATTATAAACGTTTAATGTCTCGGAGGCGGTCATTGTTTAGGGTATGTATTAAATTAAATAATAAATTACTAAATTATATATATATATATATATTGTATAGTTTTTAAAACTAGTAATTAATTATAGCTAATTGATTGCAAAACTAGATAATTAAAAACAGATAAAAAATATCGATAATATTAATCATTTATTAAATTTTTTTATCATTGATTATCATTGACTTAAAAAATAAGCTTAAAAATTAAATAATTTTTTTTATGAATTTATTACTAAATAATTTTTTGTGTGATTATTATATAACTTGTTTTGTTAAAACTATTAATGAAATTATTTAAAACAAAAAAATTAAATATACATTAAAACTAAATATATTTAAAATCTTTTTAATATTTACTTAGCAACAATTTAATTTTTTACATAAAAATAATTAATAATATATTTTTTTGCATAATTATAATGTAGTTAATCAGTTAACCAATGATAATCACATTAATAATAATACTAATAATTATTATTATTTTCTAATCTATAAAAATAAATTCCCATTTAGTAAAAAAATTCCCAAAAAAAATGATAATATTGTACCTAAAAAATTAAAGTTAAACAAAAATATTATTAGTTAAGGTCTAAAATAAAGATTTTTTATGACATTGTTTTAAATACTATTAATTTTTAGAAATAAAACCAAAAAATATATAAATAATTTAATAAAATAAATAAAAATGTAACATATTTTATCTGGATAAGTTATTTTATTTAAAAAAAATATTAATTATTTTAAAATACAAGTCTATAGATGGCGTAAACAGTTTGGGTTTTATTAAAATAAATTATATAAATATTTTAAAAATATTATTCAATTAAAATTATTTTTTAAATATAATCTAACATAAAATTTTTAACACAAAACTTACCATTAATTTTTTAGTTATATATTTTTAGTTAAAACTATTCAGTAATTATTAAGTTTTAATAAATAAATGTTAAGTTAAATATATATTGACTGAAAAATTATTGTCAAAATTTTATAATAAACTAAAAATAATAAATAAATAGTTTTAAGTGATATCGACACTCAAATGTTTATTATTAATATACAAATAGATATTTAAAAATAAAATATTAAAAATTATTATAATAGCACCAACAACAAAATTAAATATGTCTAGACTAATTTTTATATTTTTTAAAATTTATATATATATATAGTCTAAATATACAATATATGATATATATATAACTATATAATATATAAACTAATAATAATAAATAGTTTTTTACATTTTATTAGCCTTAAAATATTTTGCTATTATTTTTATTTCTAATTAATTAATTTAATTATAATTTTCATATATTATTCAAAAATCAAAACAATTATTATCACATAAATTATTGTCTAAATTGTCTATTAATGATATATATATATATATATATATCATAGAAATTATTGAACAAAAATATTAAGTATTAGGAAATATGATTTAATAAGAAAAATCTTAATAATAATAATAATAATTATTATTATCAAAAATTTAATCAATCATAATTATTATTAAAAATTAATTAAAATACTAAATATTTAAACAAACAATAATAACAATTAATTATTTATATAATTATAAACTCTAACCTAACTAACTGTTAATTGCATATTAAATACTATATATATATATATATATATAATATAATATATATATATATACAGTATATATATATTTATATATGTATATATATATATATATGTAGTATATGTGTTTGCAATACAGTATATGTAATGTATTATCATATAAATTATTGTCTAAATTATATACAATATTATTAATGATATATAAATATATATATATTTTTTAATAAATAAATATAAATCTAGTTTAATTAATGAAAAGAAAAATTAATAATAATATTTTAAATTATTAAAAAAATTAATAAATGTGTTTTAAAAATTAATTAAATACACATATTTAAACAAACATAATAACACAATACACATTACACATACAAATTTTGGTTAAAAAAATACACATACACATACAAATTTGCATACACATACACATACAAGTAAATACACATACACATACACATACATACACATACACATACACATACACATACACATACACATACACATACACATACACATACACATACACATACACATACACATACACATACACATACACATACACATACACATACACATACACATACACATACACATACACATACACATACACATACACATACACATACACATACACATACACATACACATACACATACACATACACATACACATACACATACACATACACATACACATACACATACACATACACATACACATACACATACACATACACATACACATACACATACACATACACATACACATACACATACACATACACATACACATACACATACACATACACATACACATACACATACACATACACATACACATACACATACACATTATACACCGGTATTATTATCAATAATAAATACCAGAGCGCGCACTGGTATGTGTTGAGTGTGTRTRTGGTATTGAAAACTCTGGTTTATTATACATTGTGGTGAATGTATTTTTTGGTGAGAGGAGTAGTAATATATTACATAACAGTCCCTCAATACAGTCAATGTACAGTATTTTTAGGTATTAATACCCAAACAGACAAACAAAAAATCTCTCTTAGCTTTCAAGTCGTTATTTATATATTACTTTTGTATAATAAAGTGTAAATGTATTGTAGTGTAGGGTTTCTACTGTAGTATTAATAATACTAAGAAAGAGAGAGAGAGAGAGAGAGAGAGAGAGAGAGAGAGAGAGAGAGAGAGAGACACAGATAAAGAGAGAGAGAGAGAGAGAGAGAGAGAGAGAGAGAGAGAGAGAGAGAGAGAGAGAGAGAGAGAGAGAGATTTTTGATGAGAGAGAAGAGAGAGAGAGAGAGAGAGAGAGAGAGAGAGAGAGAGTAAAGTATTACACACCTAAAAATTTCCAATGAAAATACTAAAAATAAAATCATAATTTAGTTTTCCACACACTTTTGAAACACTTTTATATAAAAAAAAAATGTAACAAAAAAAATATATTTCAAAATAGCATAACATTTAAATTTAAATAATATATTTATATAACTATAAAGTTAATTAAAGTTAATTTTTTTAAAAATTATTTGAATTATTTTACGTGATATTTTATACAATTATATATATATATATATATATATATATATATATACATTTATTTTTATAATATTTAATTAACAATAGGAATATTATAAAATAAATAAATAATTCCCCTAGAAAATTACTAGGAAACTGGGAATATGTGGGAATTTATCCTTAACCCTAGTCATAATAATAATAATAATAATACTGTTTACTCTAATAGTAGTAGACATATAAAGATACAGTACATCTACGCTAATAATATACATWTATAATAATATTATTACTATAAATAGGYTATTTTTTWGTATAGTGTACTATCTGTGCAATAGTATACTATAGTATAGATTAGGGATAGACTGTATTAGTGAGAGAGAGAGAGAGAGAGAGAGAGAGAGAGAGAGAGAGAGAGAGAGAGAGAGAGAGAGAGAGAGAGACTACTCTCTCACACATTTCATTGTGTATCGCATTGTATGTGTGTCTCTGAAAAAAAAACATTTTATTTATTATAATAGCAATAAGTAGCCAAAAAAAAAATAAAAATAAATTAAAATTGAAATAATAATTATCATTATATTATTATATATATATATCTAAAACTCTAACCTTAACTAACTGTTAATTGCATATTAAATACTATATATAATATATATATATATATATATATATATACAGTATATATATATTTATATATGTATATATATATATATATACAGTGTGTGTGTGTGTGTGTGTGTGTAGTAATGCCATAGTAAACAACACATTGTATTGCATTATATATACAGTCTATGTGTATGTAATACCAGTACTAATAGTTATAGTATTAATAATACAGTAATAATAATAATAATAATAATAACAACAACAATATAACTATAATATACATACAAAACAACGTGTTTTTGTTGTTTGGTTTGTTGTATTGTTTTGGTTAGTTTACACTAAATTTTTTTATAGTTTTTTTGTGTTATAATTAAAAAATAATTTAAATTTAAAATTTTTTTTTGTTTATTAATAACTGGTTTTATTATTATTATTATTATTATTAATATTAGTTTTTTTTTGGTTTAAATAATTTTAATTTAGTTTTTTTTTATGGACAACACGTTTGCTAAAAACATTATATGATATAATTTTTTTTTAGTAATTTATTAATATTTTTTTATTATTAAATCCTATGTTTTATTTTATAATTAATGTTTTAATCAACCAAACAATTCAAATGTTATAATAATATAAATTAAAATATGTGTTATTAATGTGTTTTTTTAATTAATTGTGAATACAATTGTATGGGATTTAAAAAAAACAAACTTTAAATACATTGTATTTATTTGATTATTGAATAATTATTAACTATTGAAAAAAAATTATTAACTAAATAATAATAATAATAATATCGTTTATATATATATATTATTGGATAATAAACAGCTAATTAATTAAAACAATAAAAAGTAAGTTTTTTTTATTGATAATTATTTTTTTTGCAAATTATTAGACAAATATAGTTAATATATATATATTTTTTTTTGTTTAAAATAAAATATATACTAATTATATATAATTCATAATACAATTTATGTTTATATGTTAAATATGTAAATATTATTATTATTTCTATATATATATATATATATATATATATATGTTTAATGTATTAATAATCATTAGGGTATCTATTTTTACATTACATTTATATATATATATCATAAAGTTATTTAATATCATATATAATAGTAATAATTTTTTATATAAATAAAACTTTTTATTTTTTAAAGTGTATTTATAGTATTGCAAATAATATATATATATATATATATAGATATATATAATAATAATAATAGTTAATAATAGTTAATAATATATA